CACTCCCTGATAGCCGACCTTCAAACATGGCTGAACAGACCACATGGGGAAGTCGATTTCTACCTGACGCAATTCCTCACCGGTCATGGTTACTTCCGAGAATATCTGCATAGAATGGGAACTCCGAACAACATAGTTGGGGTAATGATCTCCAGCCCAGAAAAGTGGGAANAAGCAGTTGCGAGATACGTGAAATTCGTACTCCGCTGCAAACGAGAGGACGGTTGTCTACTGAGGACACCCGAATGAAACGCCCCTACAAAAGAGCAGCCCCAAGGCTCTAACAGCGCGCTCCTGCATCTGAAGACATGCAGAATTGCGGTGCCAGATGCGGGATTCTTGCGCGGGCGGTGGGAGTTTGGGTTTTAGTGGGTAGCCCAACACGCTTCGGTGGGAGTCCTACACTCGGGGAAGGTAGTATAGAGACTAGCGCCTCCGGCCAGTGCATAAAGCATTTCCCTCTCCTACGAAGAAAAAAAATAAAAAAATAAAAAAAATAAAATATATAATAATAATAATCTATACTATAATAAAACTGTAGATTGTTTGTCTGTTGGAACTCACTAATCTCCGGAACTACTGAATGGATTTTCATGGGGCTTTAATTGGTATATAGAGACGTAACCTAGGGTATAAAAGAAATGAAACCTGACAAAGGGCGATGCACCTCCCATAGGCGTGACATTTTTAATCAACCATAACTTCGAAATCATACGTCACATGAATTTGAAATTCTGTTCTGCATCGCAAAAATGGTGCCGACAGATGGCGCCGGAGTCGAGATATTTAGAGACCCCGTCTTCATCGTATGACCAGGAGTAACGGGTGCTAACTCTATGATAAAAAGAATACGCTAGGAATATCAATGATTAAGAAGAATACGGTAGGAATATCAATGACCCCGTTTGAACGCGTAAACTTTCATTCTGGGAACAGGAGGATTATAGAAGATTACGCACTCTTGGCAAACCTTGCAATACGTACAGATATCTCACAGGTGGAAATAAGAGCTCATAACATCGAAGAATATTAGTACTTAACCCAAATACTATCTCATCGCTATTATTCTTGGCCTATGAGTAAGCAAGGTTCTGCTCTTTAGTCCTTTCAACCTAAACTAATAAATTTTACATTACAAACCGTTTTTGTTTAGCAACCCCATTTTAGTATTGGTCAACGTAATAGTTCTTATAAGGCGTCGCGAAGCAAGCCAGGCATTTGCTAGTACATACATATGTACCTATGCTTTCGGTATGCTTAAATTAAAAAAGCATCACTAAATACCGCACCAAGCATTGAATTCCAATTATACGTATGCTGCGAATGGTTCATTATACTAAAGCCAGTCTTCCGACATACGTACTATACTTCCTAATAGGCTTGTAAAATGCCCAATACCCAAATCCCCCGCATGAGTTATTATCGGTAAAAAATTGGGTACGCTCAAATCTGGCACCAGTGAAACAGTGTTGATATTTTAAGTACAATTGTACTTTTTTCAGTATAATTAATTTTAAAATGTACAAAAGTACAATTGGCCGACTTTAAGTACAATTTCAACATCAAAAATACTTTTTGTACCAAACGCTCAAATCTCTTCTAGCACTTTGATTCTTAATCCGTTTACATTTAAGTAAATGGATATACCTATATTTCATATTTGCTACAAAACGAAATTATGAATTGTAATTTTGAATGTAAACGTGATTGTGAACAGTAATATTAGTGATGTGCGTTATGGTGATTGCGATTTCTTATCATCGGCGGGTTAAATATCCCTCATCGCTATTTATTTTGAAAAAATCTTTGGAAATGCAATTTACCTAATGGCGATCCTGCAGAAATAGAAGTAATTGAGCAATTCGGGGGTTGAAAGTAAAAAAATGTATGTAAATTCCATGCGTTGAAATTATAAATTTCCCTTGAGGATTTCCATTTTATCGATAGTGATCTCATTTTATGTTCATTAATATGAACTGACCTATATAGTGTATTAATGTTTTATCATCATTGTCTTCATCTTTGACAAAATTACACGGTCACCCGGTATTTATTTTATTTTTTTAAATAATTTTAATTATTTTTTTTTATAAAATTGTAGCTCATTATCAAACAAAAACCTTGCAAATAAATCGAAACTTGAAAGAATGAAAAAAATCAACAAAGTTTCATCAAATTTTCACAGTTTTTGTTCAGAATTTGTAGACATGTTTTGGGTTAACAATTTTGTAGCCCATTCATTCTAGTATAATAACGTGCAAGTTTGAAGTGTCTAGAAAATACCATTGATTTTTTGAATTTTTCTGTTTGCGGTGTTGCGCACTTTCTTCCATATAACAAACGTTCTCATTTTATGTTATGTGGATGAATGCGCGTGTAGCGTTGTTGTTTTTTATGCCAATATTTTAAATTAAGCTTTATTTTATAGTTTTTCTTAGACAATGATAAATGATGTACACAAATTTCAGTATGGAAAACAAGTGCAAAACCTTCAACAAAAAAAGTTCTCAAAAATCTACGCGAATTGAATGTACTATCTCGATCATTTAAACATCTCGGACTCGCCCACCACTAAAAATGATTATTTAAATCTAAAGTATATATTAAATGATATTTAATATTTGCTTTAGAGATGAAATTTCGACAAATTTGTTTAACCAAAAATGTTAAGCGCATATGCAGAATGTGGAAGCGAGATTCTTCTGCTTGCGTTTCTATGTTTATATCATTTATCAGTTTAAGCACATACGATTAAATGTAAAAAAAATATTTTTAATTGCGGATCCGAAAGAAATATTTATTAGTTGCATTGAGTTACGCAAAAATAGTGCCGAAAATCAATCGATTGTGCTGAAGGTGCCGGCTGCTTCCGAAAGGGCCGAAAATGGCACAATGCACACTCATTTTCCATCACTGTCACACATACAATCTCACTATTCTGTTGACTTCGTTTTCCCCTTCCGATAACTTTTTGCTTCCGCCCTTGCCCAGCACCGCTGTGCAAAGCTTTGCACGCGCAGTCGCCCGCGACACATATGTGCTGATTTGGGCATCCCTACCATAGGGATATCGAAGTTTGGTTCAATATGCATAAACCTTTTTTTTTTGTAAACCTGTGTTATTTCTTCTTTCACGATCGAGGAATTCTGTAATAGCGTATTTCCACCAAAAGCTTAACTGCAGTTAAGAGTTCAGATTAGTTCCATTAATTTTAACATGGGGTGATCGGCAAGGTTTGTTTCTTAATTTTTGCTTTTTTCCTTTCGTTTGGTTCTACTTAATAGGTGGGATTACACCCTTCGATAATCTCCTTTTTCCAATAAGCATAAACTGCAGTTAAGCCTTGGTGGAAATCAACTATAATACTCATATGTACATTTGTTCACATTTCCGTAAAAAAGCGTGAGTGATTAAAACCGAGGCGGGTAAATGTGAGACAGAAAACCAAAGCAAAGCATGAATATGCGTGACTTTGAAGTCATCATGATGAGCGTGCGTCAACGTGAGCCAAAATTACTCACGCCTCAACAACGGGATCAACAAACGTATCGTCAAGCGCGCGGCATGCACATTTTAAGACATAAGATTATTAGTTATTTTGATGATAAAAAACTTATCCTTGTATTTTACTACCGTTTAATTGTTTATGGTTTTTCAGATTTTGTTTAAGGACAACAATAAGTTTACATTCATAAACACTAAACATATCAAAATAACTTACGAGTGGCCATAATGTTAAAATTTATGCGTGGTAAAGGTCAGCAACCAACAGCAGAAAGGCAGCGGCTGCAAAAAGAGCTATTTTCTTATAGGAAGGTAAGTACTAGAAACTTTTAAATTCATTCGTTAATACATCGACAATTGCTGTCTAGATTTTCCTTTATATGCTCGGCCATGGTCACTGCATCGTTTAATAACCTTGTCACATCGATAGCATCAGTTTTGATAGATATATGTACATTAGACTGCATCACTCCCCATACAAAAAAAATCGGTACTATGTTTCCATTGGAATCATAAAATCTGTTATATTTTATGACATCCACCGAAATATTTCGGAAAAATATTAAGATTTGCGTGAGCTGGACTGATTTGAAAATATCTTCAAAAATTGAATTTTTTATGAATAAAAATAGCTTCTTGTCAACAATTTTGAGTTTAAGGCCGTTTTTAATGAAAAACTTATTGTGGAAAAGCAACAATATTATGAAAAAATGGTAGAAGTAATAGCTATTTCAGAAATCACCACATTTCCTCATCAGACTTCTTTCAGTAGGATTGAACCGACGATCTCACTGACTCAGCCAGTTGCCAACGCACTGTGCTAAGTTCGCCTTGTAAATTATTGCTGCTTTTTTCCCATAATTTTGATTTTGAGGCCTCATTTAATGAAAAACTTATTGTGGAAAAGCAACAATATTATGAAAAAATGGTAGAAGTAATAGCTATTTCAGAAATCACCACATTTCCTCATCAGACTTCTTTCAGTAGGATTGAACCGACGATCTCACTGACTCAGCCAGTTGCCAACGCACTGTGCTAAGTTCGCCTTGTAAATTATTGCTGCTTTTTTCCCATAATTTTGATTTTGAGGCCTCATTTAATGAAAAACTTATTGTGGAAAAGCAACAATATTATGAAAAAATGGTAGAAATAATAGCTATTTCAGAAATCACCACATTTCCTCATCCGACTTCTTTCAGTAGGATTGAACCGACGCACAGTGGGGTAATCGACCCTGAAAGTGGAGATGAATTCATACGTACATTTAATTCAAAATATTTTGATGTATTTGTATAACTACCACCAAATGAAGTAAAAAAAGAGCAATCCGAAAAGAGTTTAGTGGGAATTTTGTTTTTTCAGTAGGTTTTTATGGCGTTACCAAAGAGCGAAAACAGTTAAAATTTAGTTGTTACTCCCATAAATAATTTTTATTATTAATGATAATTTGTTAAAATCCTAATCATCATTAATTACAATTTAAACACCACTTCTATCACAATAATAATTATCCTCATCATTATCTTGATTACTATTTTCATCATCAACATCACCCACATCATCCCTTTTTTATGTAATTTTTTATATGATAATGAATACGAATTGTACAAATTTTCTCTTCAACAATTACCTACATGTTGTTGTTAAGCCTAGAAAGTAATTTAGAATATATAACCTTTAATAAAAATAATCATCATCTTCGCTCGCGTCATTGTCATCACTATCAATATCTTCATCATCGCTATAAGGCTGCATAATTAACGACTGTTGTGCTTCTTTCGGCAAATCCTATAATTTTTTTGGGGCAGTTTTCTCATACTTGATACAACAGGGTCGGAACTAATCAAAAGTCTATTGAATATATCTTCATTCGTGTTTTTTCTGTTGCACTTGCAAGAAAAATTTACTCTGTAGCTCTTAAAATTTTTGTTTCGCGCCTCTAGAGCTTCTGACAATTGACTGACATGTAACAAAGCGTGGGATATTATCTCTGGCCCATGGATGAAATATGTATGTATTTGTGGAGTGTTGGTTGCATTTTATACCATGGATAACAATTAACAAAATATTTCGCTGTATTTAAAGTGTAGTTGCGAAACTTTTCCACCTCGATTTGATGGCCACTAGAAACAGCTTTAATAATTGTGTGCATCATTATAACTAAATTGAGATCAACCTTTGTTATTATGGCTGACCTCTCGGCATTTTGAAAGAAACGCCTAGCCAGAGTTTTTCATTATTTCATAAAGCCTTTTACGAGTAACCCAAATGATATTTGAGCTCGTTCCTGTAAAGAAAATAATAATATAACTAGGCCTTTAGAGTTATGGTTATTCTCCGTTTACCCGTCTAGCGTAACCATATTAGTTAAAAATATCATTACTATCATTATTTCTATTCACTGCCCATGGCATTCTTGCATAGAACTATCAACACTATAAACAAGAATAAAGATTATAATTAACACTAAAAATATGCACTAGATACCATTCTTTACGGTTTCACATATACCCTATAAGTCAATGGACAAGTAAATTACGTCATTCTAAGCTATTATTGTAAAATTTAATAAACCCAAATTTTATTTTATAATTCTGAGCAGATATGTACATAAATGTATACATACTTTCTTTGATACGTGCAAGTACTAAAAGTTTCGCCTTTGAAACAAAACAGTATTTAGTCTACTTTTGATAATAAACGTGTGTATGTAATAGTTATGTCGTATGTAGGGTACAAAAAAAACAGTAATTGAGCAAACAACAAACGCGGACAGTAACAATATTACTTTCTTGTATGTTTTGTACTTAGTTTTCACTTGTTATATTTGGTTTTGTTCTTCATCGAGAATTTCATGTATATTTCACCAACGAGGTTATATTATATAAATCGATATATTGAAAAAGTGCGCAGGCATGCCGCAACTTTTTTTTTACTACAGAATGACACTATAACGTCCAAGGTATATGTAAATGATTATACTTTTGCTTGATTGCACCTACTTCTCAACTATATGTCTACGTATATAGCCAAAAACCCCTTATTTTTACGCTTACGATAAAAAATAAAATAAAATACTTAGAATCATAGTATAAGAAAACTAAAATCACCTTGTATTGCCTAAATACCTGAAAAAGAAGGCTACATTACCGTTTTTGATATATCATTAAAGAAAACTCAGATATAGCTTGTAAATTTTAAATATTAAATCACGTTGTGTTGTGCCCCTATCGCTCTTGATCCGAATAGGAATACCTCTGTGATTAACGAAATTGCGTATACATAAAACCACAGCAACGGTTGACAAGTCTCTGGCCACCTCCAAATGTATCGCTCGAATTGTCAAACAGGTGAACAAAGCTACCCACCTCTTTTCTTGCCGTCGCCCGATGGAAACCATTACCGGCCCGAAATAGTCAAGACCAGTGTACGAGAATGCTCTAATGTAAGGTGAAAGTCGGTCAGCTGGTATTTGTCCCATGAGAGGAGGCCTCGGCGTAGCTGCTGCATTTTTGCAAAATTGGCATTCACGTTTAACAGATTTCAAAAGACTTCGAACGCTTGGGATCCAATATTTAGCTCGAAACGCACAGATAATAGCTTCCTGGTTTTGGTGATAAAACGTTTCATGGAAATGGCGAACTATGAGTCGCGACATTGCATGATTCTTTGGCAAAATTACTGGACGTCTCGTCCAAACAGGGAGACACAGAGCATTGTCGATACGACCCCCAATGCGCAATAAACCCTTTTCGTCTATCACGGGCGTTAATGTGGACTCCATTTTGGAAGCTGCTTCCCATTTCGCAATACCAAAAGTTCATCCACGAAAACGACTTTCTGAACGCGCCGAACTAACAGTTCCTCTGTCTCTTTGATCGCACTGGCTGTTACTTTTAATGTAGTCTCTTGATTTTCAGTATTTTTGGTTACCAAAGCATGAAACCTTAAAACGGCGTATTGAACCCAGCTCATAACTCTAAGAGTTAAAAGTTTGAAAACTATGTGAAAGGCATAACATCATCGTGCATCGTATCGTGTATAGCGGTTTCGCCCTCTTTTCGTTGTCGTTGTCATTTTTAGGAAGATCTGGGAATAACGGCCGATTTTCTTCGCCCTGCTTTAGAAACCCGAGTCCATTAATCCACTTCGAATCTACCTCAAACATATTACAAGACTGTGGTCGCGTTGCGTCGTCCGCTGGGTTTAGCGATCCGGGTACCCATCTCCATTGTGCTATTTCAGATGTATGAAGAATCTCGGAAATACGATTGCTTACAAATTGTTTATATTGGCGAGCTTCGGATCGAATCCACTGAATTACAGTCTTAGAATCCGACCAATAATTTATTAATGCAGGGTTTACTGTGTGACTCTCAGTAATTGCGTTACTTAACCGTGTTCCGAGCACCGCGGCCTGTAGTTCCAGTCTACGGATTGACATTGGTTTTAATGGACTGCAGCGAGATTTCGCTGCGACAAATGCAACTCTTATTTGGTTGTAATGTCTTATGCGAAAAAAGGCGACAGCAGAAAACGCTAGCTCACTTGCATCAACAAATATGTGCACTTGTATTTCGGAAGATGGATCTTTAAAAACTGGACTGTAGCATCTAGGTATGCGAAACTCTCTTATCTTGTCAAGCGATTTATACCACTCATACCATCTGTCGTAAATATCGTTAGGTATTCCATCATGCCAACCTATGCTAACCTGCCACAGCTTTTGCAGCAAAATCTTTGGAACCAAAGTAATGTTTGCAAGGAACCCAAATGGATCGAATATCGACATCGTCAAACCCAACAACTGCTTTTGTTGGTCGTCGACTGCCATTTAAAACTGACGTTGGTATTTTAGCGAAAGCTAAGTTAAAAAAGAATATGTCTTGTTTAGCATCCCAATGCATTCCAAGCACTTTATCGCATGTTGATTTTGAACCGCACATATTTTTCGAATCACACTCATGTTCAAAATTTCCGCCAATAGCCTGCAGTAGCTTTGTAGAGTTCGAAACGAAACCTCTGAGAACGAAACCTACTTTGCTGTGAATCTCCGCCACCTTTTGCGATACACATATGGCCTCCTCAATAGTAGTAAAACTATCCACATAGTCGTCAACATAGTGGCGATTGACGATTGCATCGACTGAACTCGGATAGTCAGCTTCGAATTTTGACGCATTCAAATTCTTCACAAACTGTGCAGAGCATGGATAGCAAATAGAACCAAATATCATGGCCTTCATGACATACACATCAGGTTGTCTTGATGTATTCCCTTCACGCCATAGAAAACGTTGTGAATTTACGTCTTCTTCGCGTATGTTTATGCGATGGAACATTTCTCTTATATCCCCGCAAATAGCTATGTTCCCTTCGCGGAATTTGCATAAAATCGATTGCAGTGGTTTTGGTTGCTAATCATCAGGGCCCTTCATAAGCACAGAATTCAGAGCGTCCGTAGCGGCTGCATCGAAAACCAATCTTGGTTTATTGCCCTTGTTCACATTATAAATGGCAACATGAGGTAAATACCAAATGCGCTCGCTAGATACTTCAGCTTCAACGGTAGAAAGTTTTCTTGCATAACCCTTCTCTACGTAGTCACTTA